GCAGCTTCCTCGGGAAAGGCTGGCCAGAGGGGCACACTTCAGATGGAGCAAGAAGCCGGGCTCCAACTTTGCAATTTATCTTTCAAAAGTCAACCTCTCTGTAATGCTTGGAGCAAGAGCATGAAGTAGTTCCTACCATGTTTAATTCTCATAAGAGGTCCCTTCCGCTGTTGGACAGATGAGGAAACCAAGGCTCACAAGGAAGTGATGTGTGCGGGTGTGCATGCTGTCTGTGGAGGTGTGCAAACCCTTTCTTCACATATTCACTTGTGCTCAGTTGTGTGCTGGAGTTGTGCATCTGGAGCGGAGCAGGACCCTGGTAACCTCTTCAGGCATCTTCTTGTCTGTCTTGAGACCCTGGGGCAAGGATGAGCTCCCACCTTCCTGGCTTTGCCAGGTTCTCCTTTGCTTTGGGCTCTTCAGGCACTCAGTGGACTGAGGTGTGAGGGGAGAGTGTGGATCTCATGTGGCATGGCGTGGATGTCACAGGGTCACTTCCCTGCTGACCTGGCTGGATCAACTACAGGACCTATACCCTCGGCTCATTCCCCTCCCCCAAGAGAGCCCTACCTTCTCCTCTGGGCTCCTTTGTGTCCCCAGCACAGAGGGCCTTCCAGCACCTCCTCTGTGGTAGTGCGTTCTGAAAACCTTCTCTGTGTAAAATGATTCCTAATCCACTCACCACCAGCTCTCACGCTGTGTCCAGGGTCACATCAGCGTGTTCAGACAGAAGGAAAGCAAAGCTAACCTCGGTGCAGTGCTTCTAGGCCGCTCTCTCTGGCATTCCAAGTTTTGCTTAAAATACTTTAGGCACAAACCCCATGTGTCCTCTGTGCCTGCGAGTGAGACCAGCATAGGGTCTATTTAATTCAGATGACTTATCACAGATGCCCCCAAACAGATTCGGCAGGCTGCAGCGGGGTGCAAACTGTAATGTTCTCCAAGTTTGAATGACCTGCTAATGGTGCGAGGTAACCTACAGCTTTTCTCATCCAAAATCTATCTCTTTGTGCTTCTACCAGCAGTGTTCGCGTCTGACTATTTGAATTTAAAAAGAGGAGGCTTCCTGGCTTTCGCCACATCACTTTTTTCCCCTTCATTTGTAATCTGGCTTTATAATTACGCCATGATGGAAATACAGGAGAAAATTTCTGACTAATGAGAGGATAGGCTAGTGAATAACGTGGACGCTAACTAGGTGGGTTGGGTCATACTGTGCCACACAGATCATGTACGCATATTTATTGTAAGATTAAAATGGCCACCAGGTCCTGTAGAGGTGCCAGATTCTTTGAAATGCAGCAATATTGTTCTTTTGTTTAAATTGTAATTGTAAAGGTGATGTACAGAGGGGTTACGGTTACATAAGTCAGATAGTACATTTCTTTGTTTAACCATGTCACCCCTCCCCTCATTTTCTCCCAGTTATTCCCTCCCATCTCCACCCACAAGTAGTATTGTTTATTTTTCTGAGAACCCATTGAATATGAAGATAGATTCCTAATTCCAGGAAGTACATTAAATACAGCCCATATTTACCTTTGCACTTGACTTATCTTTGTATAATACCCTGAGAGTTTCTTTTGAAAAGTGGAGATAGCAGTCACAGAGATGCCGATTGTCTTGTTTGTCCTGTTGGATCCTAACAGCTCTCCCTTTGTTTTTCAGTCCTTCACCAGGGCCAAATGGCAACTTGTGGAAACTGGTGAAGTCATTCCAATTATGCAAGGAAGTTGTTAATGAGTAAATTTTAGGTTTCAGGTTGCCTGGCTCTGAAATGCAGTGTTTGAAAGCCTGTGTTCTTGAGTGCAGCTTGAGCTATTATTAACATAAATAGAGAAGCATGGTCTTCTCCTGGGATATAAAATGGCTATTCTCTCTATTTCCAAACTAGCCTCTCATCTTCAGGAAAGATACAACTGAAAAAGGCTTTGTTTGATCAGCCACACATGTTGACTATTGAGATTTGGTGTTCAGTTGATCCTCTCCCTGCTGACCGGTTAGTGGTGATGTGTGGAGAACAGATTGGTGTCATGTGCAGTTCTTTTTGGCTCCTCTCATGTCTTGCCATTACTTGAGCTTCTTTTTTTTGGGTCCAGTAGTGGGGCCTGAACTCTGGGCCTGGGTGCTGTCCCTCAGCTCTTCAGCTCAAGGCTAGCGCTCTACCACTTGAACCACAGCGCCACTTCTGGCTTTTTTCTTTTTGCTTATGTGGTGCTGAGGAATCGAACCCAGGGCCTCGAGCATGCAAGGCAAGCACTCTACCACTGAGCCACCTTCCCAGCCCCAAGCTCCTCCTTTTTTTTTTTTTTTGTCTTTGGTTGGTCATGGGGCTTGAACTCTGGACCTGGGCCCTGTCCCTCAGCTCTTCAGCCCACGGATAGCGCTCTGCCACTTGAGCCACAGCAACACTTCTGATTTTCTGGTGGTTAATTGGAAGTAAGAGTCTCATGGACTTTCCTGTCTGGGCTGGCTTTGAACCGCGATCTTCAGATCTCAGCCTCCTGAGTAGCTAGGATTACAGGTGTGAGCCACCACCACCAGGCTTTGAGCTTCTTCGAATACTTCATGTAATCACAAAGCCAATAAAGTCATCTTGACTTGAAAATAAACAGATCAGATAGTGTACCTATATACGCTTAGCCTTGCCTGGCCACGTACTTGGCATTGGCAGCAGAGAGGAGAGAGGCATCTAACTTAATAAATTGGTTCCCCACTATGGATAGGAATCCTTGTACCACAGGGACACACTGGGCAAGTCAGCTGTTTAGTGATCTCTATTTTGTGGACAGAGCCCTCTGCCATCTCTGAAAGTCTGTGCTTTGAAGTAGTTTGTCCAGAAGCACCTGTTAAGATGGTGTAAGATGCTGTATTAGTTGTCTACTGCTTTGTAACGAAGCATACCAGAATTTAGTAGCTTAGACCAAGGAACATTTACTACCTCAGTTTCTGTGGTTTGACAGCAGGGCTTGATCCAGGTCTCTCAGGGCTCATCCTCAGCTCATGGGGAAGGACCCACTGCTGCTCATGGCTGGTGAGGTTCCAGGCTGTGAGCTGGATACCTCTGTTCATGCCATAAGACAGCTCACAGAACAGCAGCTAGATAGCCAAAACTGGCGTTAGAGTCACAATCCTCCTATCTGGCAGCCTCTCAAGTGCTAGAATTACAGGCCTGCCCCCCTTTTCCCAGTTTTCAGTTTTGGGATGCAGTTCATATGCTATACAATTAACCTTTCATATACTTTTAATATACTTACCAGACTGCATAACACCAATAAGTTCAGAACATTCTTACTACCCTTCCAGATGAAACTGTATATCCACTAGAAGTCACTCTTCATCTCTCCTTTCCCAATGTACTGGACATTGTATGTAGATATTTCATACAACATGTGTCCTTGTGTATGTAACCTCTTTTTTTTTGGGGGGGGGTCCGGTCGTGGGGCCTGAACTCTGGGCCTGGGCGCTGTCCCTCAGCTCTTCAGCTCAAGGCTAGCGCTCTACCACTTGGGCCACAGCACCACTTCCGGCTTTTTTCTTTTTGCTTATGTGGTGCTAAGGAATCAAACCCAGGGCCTCAGGCATGCAAGGCAAGCGCTCTACCACTGAGCCACCTTCCCAGCCCCTGTAACCTCTTCTACCTACCACATGCTTTCAAGATTTGTCTGTGTTGTAGCATGAACCAGTCTCCATTCCTTTTTTAAATTGTTATTATAAAGGTGGTATACAGAGGAGTTACAGTAATAGTTATATACATTTTTATATACATATGTGTATACACACACACACACATATTCAGGTAAAGAGTACATTTCTTTTTGGACAATGTCACCGTTTCCCTTGCTCTTTCCCAGTTTTTTCCTCCCAATCCCACTCACAAGTTGTATAGTTCCTTTTTAACATAGTGTCTAGTGAGTTTCCACTTTGTTCACCCTTTGTCCCTCCATTTCTGTGCCTTTCCTTACACTCCCAAAGACAGACAAGTGAGCATACAAGAAAAGAAAAGAAAAGAAAAACAGCAACAAAGAAAATACCTCTTGTTTCTATTTCTTGGAGTCCATTCCGATAAATAGTATTTTATATGATCAGATGCATATCCGCGTTGCCCCTTCGTGTTCTTCTCTTAAAAGTAACCTCCCTTGGTCTCACTGTGTGTGAATGCCTAGCGTCCTCTATAATTTATCATGTATTTCAGATGTAGCTTTTGCATATGAGTGAAAACGTGCCATTTATTTATCTGAGCTTGGCTTACCTCACTTAATGTGATTTGTTCTAGGTCCATCCATTTCCCTTCAGTGATGTAATATGATTCTCTCTAATGGCTGTATAAAACCTCCATTGCTTTTTGTGGATGACTAATACTTCAGCTGTATGGTTAGACCACACAGATAATGGTCATTTGGGTTGTTTCTACTGTCTTGAATAATTCTCTGACTCATGTTTGTGTTAGAGTCTCTGTAACTTAGAATGCATATTTTATTATCGCTTTTAATTGGAAGTAAATCTTTGTGTATGTATGTGTGTATGTGTGTATCTAGAAGTTGAGCCCCAGCCCATTCCCTAGATTCTCTGGTAGATATCCTGGTGGCTCTTCTGGTTCTAAAACAGCTCGCCAGCACCTTATTGTATTAGTGTGGGGAAGTTGCACTAAATGATTAATGTCTTTTTCTTTGCACTAAGTAGTTGCTACCTTATAAAGAGTCTTCTTTGGGCTGGGAAGGTGGCTCAGTGGTAGAGCGCTTGCCTTGTATGCATGAGGCCCTGGGTTTGATTCCTCAGCACCACATAAGCAGAAAAAGCCGGAAGTGGTGTTGTGGCTCAAGTGGTCGAGTGCTCGCCTTGAGCTGAAAAGCTGAGGAACAGTGCCCAGGCCCAGAGTTCAGGCCTTATGGTGACTTAAAAAAAAAAAAATCTCCTTTCTGGAGAAGCCAGAAGAATTTTGAGAGGGTAATTTTCGATGAGTGTTAAAATACTGATAGAAAGTCTCTCTTTTCTTAAAGCTGTGCCAAATCTTTGGAATGTGGATGGAGAAGTTCCTGTCCCAGAACAGAAGCCAGGAGAAGTGGCCGAAGAGCTGGCGAGCTCCTATGAAAGAAAGCTCATTGAGGTAAGCCTTGCCACCTTCCTTAGGCTGGATTCTGCTCATGCGCCTGCGTCCCCAGGTGGGAATGAGGCCCAGCGGCCGAGTGCTTGTCCAGCACTCTGTCTACTCCATCAATCCACAAACAAACTTGAACTTTGGAAAACAAGAAGGAACGGAGAACTGTGGTGGGTGGGCAGGTGAACATGAGTGTCTTGGCGGCCCTGTAAGATCTGCAGTCTTAGCAGCAGGTGGGGCAGGTCATGTGTGAACTGTAGTTGATGCGCTGCTTAAGGAAGAAGACACTGTTGCTCTTGCAGCTCCCAGATGCTGCTGGGAAAAATTTGGGAAATTGCCCAGTGGGGAATAGCTCCGTTCAAATCACCCCAGCAGTTGAGCACAGATCTCAAGCCTTTGCGGTGAGAAGGCTGAGCTCATGGAAGGATAAAAGAGTTTAGTGTTACAGAAGCTAGAGAGCAGCCATTACAATGTTGGAGAGAATGAATGGAGGGACAAGGGAAATCGCACAGCTGAGGAAGAAAGAGCCCATGGCAATGTCAGCCTTGCGGCAGTGCTAGGAGGAAGGCCTTGCCTGCCCCTCCTCCCAGAGAAGGAACAGGAATTCCCAGCCTGCACCTGGTGTCACCTGCTTCTGAGGGGTTGTGGAGTGGAGCAGGCAGAGCTGCCAGGGGAGTGTGGACAGTGCCTTTCCCTGCCTGCCTGGGGGGACAGCCCACCCTGCATTTGGAGTGAGTTAGAAGGCTAGCCCCTACCCCAGTCCCAAACAGCTCAAAGTGTTATAGAATGAATTAGGGATCTAGTAAGATGAGACTCGGGTTCTCTGTGGAGGCATGCCTTCTCCTAGGGCTCAATTTGAGGGGGAACAGAGCTTAGACAATCTGGAGAGGACACTGGACAGCAAGCAGATGGATATTCGCTGAGCATGTGCAGCGTCCTCTGGTTGCCTCTCCATTTCTTGTGGCTTTCCCTGCCCTGAAAGCAATGTCAGTTCTTGGAGATGAGCCAAGAAGATGTAAGGCTGAGGTGGAGATGTCCCTAATTTGAGTTTCCCTTCTTTCATTGATGATTTGTTCGAGGACAGTGCCAGGCCTCTACTACCTTGGGCCTGAGCCTGGGTTACAGAGCAATAAGGGAGTGCCTGTAAGGAGCTGGCTCCCACTTGGGTGAGGCAGGCCTCAACCAGGAAAGAGGGCTGAGGCTGTGCCCAGAGGCCTGCAGCTGCAGCCTCCAAGGCGGTTCTTCTAGGGGCAGCCCCTAAACACAGCTTCCTTAGATTGCTTCTTTCTCCTTCACTAAGGTGGTAGTGATGATGCTCAGATTTCTTTTGTAAACTTCTCACCCCTCGTGAAGATCTGAGACATCAGAAGAGATGGATTTGTCTCTCCAAGGGTTTGGAAGATCAAAGATATTGGACACATCCAAGATACATCTAAGACTTGCTTTTTTGCCTCTTTTAAGTATAATTTCTTTGGTTTAGCCTCATCTCGAGAGATTTTCCCATTCTATTCTAGTAGTTGGCTTCAAGAAAAGTGTAAAATATCCACAGTATTTGGACTTTGATCCTGTATCTCTTCGCTGCCACTGTGGCTTGGAAGGGTACGTAGGATCCACTTCAACTTATTTTAGGTTTGCCATGTTTCTGCTGTGTTTCCCTGGGCAGGCCACATAGCTTCTCTCATCCGCATTGTCTCTGTCAGTGGAATACAGCTGATAAAATCTACTACTGGGTTGCTGTGGGAACTAAGCAGGAGAGCAGAGGCCAGAGCCTGGAGCCCATGGAGTGTCATTGTGTCTCTGTTTCTCCTCTTGTCTGATTTCCTTTGGAGGATGTGCTTCTGTACTGTTGCCTGCCATTTTGGTGGGAACTAATCCCAAGCACTTTGTCTCCTTTGGACAGAGTGGACTCCTGGCTGGGCATTTGACCCACCACAGGGGCTGGGCTTTAATTTCCCAGTCACTCAGGAATGTGTCATGCGTGGGAGCCCACTAGTTTAACAGTGAGCTTCGGTAACATTGCTCTGGGAGACTTGTTAGTCTGCGAGACTCTGCCATTACCTCCTAGGTGAACTTGCTAGAGCTGTGCTGTTTCTAGTTTCTTCTCTGAGCCAGCTTCTCCACGTCATTAACTCTTAATAGTAAATGTTCTTTCAGGTGAGGTTAGAATCTGTTTCTCAGCTGAGTGTAGTGGTGAATGCTTGTAATCCCAGCACTCAGAAGGTTTAGGCAGGGGAATCTCATGTTCGAGGCCTGCCTGTGCTACACAGGGAGACCCTATCTCAAAGATTCAAAGACCATGCTCCCCCTACAATCCCCCCAAATTAACACAGAAGTCTGTTTTTCTTGCTTGAATACCCTGACTTGTAAGAAATGTCTGTACATTTAAGATCGGTAGTTGCTATTTCCTTTCATTTCCACTTCTGCTCTCTGCCCACAAGAGCCCAGCTCCGTTACACTGCCTCTGCCTGCCCAGCCTGGCTGTGCAGCCGGCACCTGGCTGCCTGCTCCCTGTGTGTATGCCTCGGTCCATCCGCTGCCAGCAGAACTCCACTCCCTTCCCCGCAGCGAGGCTCAGCTAGCTGGTGACTGATTTGTCAAATTACAGGGTACTTATCATTTACTGTATGACTGTCGTTAGTCCCTGAATTTTGGCTCATGGGTGAAATAAATGGTATATTAGCGACGTTTATTCTCATTATAATGGCAGAGTTACTATTAATGGAAAAGTAAGCTTAAGCATCAAGCTGGTAAAAAAGAAATACATCCATCATCACATGCTGGAGATGGCTGTGGATGTGATCATCATTCTGATAAAACGCACAAGTTCCCAAGGCAGCTGGACCTTGGGTGCTTGTTCCACAAATTGGCACTGACGCATCCTGACACTTTTGATGTATCCAGGAGTCATTCTCGAACAAGACAAGTGGGCTTTTAAATAAAATATGGGACTCTGTAGAAAGACTCAGAGCTGAGCTCCACATTAAGTTGATGTTCAAGATGGAAAGCATAGTGTTGAGAGGTTTTTTTTTTGCTTTTGTTTTAATAAGTTGCAGAGTAGATTGAGACCAGCTTCTCACCCTGTGCTAGCGGGAAAGGGTGGCTCACGGGCAAAGCTGAGTGTTGAATGGCTTCTTCTGTGTGAGGGGTTCTCCTTTCCATTGGGGTGGTCATGTTTCCCTCTAAAGTATGAATGACTGACTACCACAGCCAAACCTCTGAGGAACTCTTCAGATACGCCTCTCTGCACCCATCAGCTGGCTTCAGCTACTCATAAGTCTTGGCCACTCCTCATCTTTAGTCTGTCTCACCCCAGTCTCTCTCAGTACTCTGAAGGTAAACCTAGATTCCACATGGATATATTCCTAAGTAGTATAGCAATGTATGTTTGAAACATGAGAGTTATAAAAAAAAAAGTCCCACAACAACTGAAGTACTTTATCATACCTAAAAGTCTCACCACAGAGGCCTGTGCTGGTCCTAGTGACTCAGATTGGATATCAGGGAGAACTTTGGGCCTGTTTGGGGAGCCCTTACTCACTGTTCCCTCCCCAGCTTCCTGTCATGCATGTGAGATGGCCATTTCCTGGGCAGTTCTGCTGGCCCTGCCTCTCACATCCATCTAGCTAACATCTCGCAGAGTCATAGCAGTAGGCAGCTATGCTGATCCCTGGAAATGGAGTGACTGGGAGAGGTGGAGGTATGACCACACAGTAGACAGCTTTTCCCCAGCGTTTAGGTGTCCAGGTCTCTGGCAGTGGAGGAGGCAGGTGTGTTGCACACACAACACTCCACCAGTAATTTGTTTATTTATTTTTATTGTGAATGCCTGGGATATAGGGAAGAGTCTTCAGGACGGCTGTGTCCCCACCACTGACTTCTAGATATCAGTTCAGGGCCAGTCCCTCCCACTCTCCTGGGGCCCCAGCTGCTCATCCTAAGCGCATCAATTCCACCCCTAGCACTATACTGCTATACTATACTATCAGGGTTCACACTTAATAGTGCAAGAAAAAAAAGTTCCTATGGCATTATTGTCCCACCTGAAAGCTAGCAATATCTCCAGAATATCACCAGTGGTGCTCCTGCTCCCAGTGCTGGCCACTGTCATCTTCCCACCCCATTTTTCGGATAGAACTTCAGGCATTTGATTTCCTGCTTCCTACGAGGCCTCAGAAGATGCTGGAGCACACAGTGGACACCGCGGCCCTCAGTGGACACTAGGGCCAAAGCTCTGCTGTTTATTTGTGTGCTCTCACTTGTGCTGAAGCCTGGTTTCTGGCACCGTCCTCTGATCTGGGAGCATGAAGTGTTTGAGAACTAACACACGAACTCCCCTACAGAAACACTCAGAAAATGATCCAATGCTCCTTTTTTGGGCAACAGATAAAAATACTTGTAATTATAGTGGCTGTTTTTCAGCTTTTCAGCCCCACACTATTTTGGGCCCATTTTATATTAGCTTTCCTCGTTCAGGCGGGAAGTGGCTTCTGGAAGGTACTTCTGGCCCCTCCATCCCAACAGAAGTCTCTGGTCTTGCTGGGAGGGCTCACAAGATGGCCTGGTAGTGCTGGGTGTGCCTGGCGGAGGCATAGGGCTGTCCTGCCTACTGGAGGAGCCGAGCCTGCTGGCAGCGCCAAGGCTGTGAAGCCCTGTCACTCGTGGTGTGGAGCTACAGCAACACACTCCCACGGGGTCCCTCCCTTGGTGGCCTCCTTCCGGTGAGGGGAGTGAGCATCATCAGCAAGTGATTTGTGGCAGCTAGTGATCTGTTGAGCCACAGAAAGAAGCTGTAGACAGTGCCTGAGGCCCAGAAGCAGAAGAGACATCCTGAAATGTCCAGTGAACTCAGCACCGAGCTGAGCTCCGACTGCAGAAGGGACTTTGCCAGCAAGGGAAGGTGGGAAGGGCAGGCCAGGCTGCAGGAGCAGCACTTGCCAAGGTCAGCTGATGGGTGGACAGCCCAAAGACACCCAGCACCCTCGGTTTCTCATCACCAGCACTGTTAGTCT